ATAGCCGAAGATAAAAGTTATATAATTTTGATTAGCCAAATTATATACTTTTTTGACGAATGATTGACGAGTGGCATAATGCCGAATAAATCCATTTCGACTAGTGTAATATATATTATTAAATATATTTAACATGTTCATTAATATACTCATGAAAGGAAAAATTCCAGTTAAAGCATTAATTGATATATTATCGGAGTTTAATACTATTAATAAAAGCTTGTTCAATAAGCTTGAAGAAGATTATGGAATATATGCTTCTAATGAGAATCTTTATGAAGATGTAATAGGTGAAATAAAATGTTTATATTTACAGTTTTACTATAAAGGAAAGCAGTAAAGCTTAGATTGTACTGAAGTAATGGACTTTCAAATTCACAAAAATCCATTGTCTGATTTGGTATTATAACAAGAATAGCTATGGATGCATGAAGCAAAAATAAGTTTTAAATATTCTCCCAAAACCTATGTTTGCCATGCTAAAATTGAAATAGATGATATAAGCATCCCATTAATTGATAAAGATTTAACAAAATAAACTCTAGTAAAAATAACCCATCTAATTCAATGGAGTCAAAATCTGATATAACTCTGAATGAACTTGTAAAGTAGATATATTCAAGAAATTATCTTTTAGAAGCAAAGATAATTGTACCGAAAGAAATGTCATGAAATATTTCACAATAAACCTTACATATCTCCAATGCCCAGATAGATAGGTTCGAAGAATCGCCTAATGGCCTTTTCTGCAATAAAATATGAGACAGAGACTGATTCATCCAGCTCCAATTCAGAATCCATGAGTTCAGACTGGTATGATCTTGACTCAATAAAATACCCAAAGAATCATGTTCATATTAAAAAGAAAAAGGTTATCTCCCCTATTCGAAAACATCATAGGAATAAGCTTCGTAATTGGACCTATTCTTCAGAGTAGTGATCTATCCAATCAGAATAAACATGATTTTGGACAAACCTTTTCTGGTGATTTGTTCGCTGAATATTGCCAAGAAAAATTTAATTAACCATGATCGGTACACAATATACCTGCAATGAGCGAATCAAGTCCCACTGATATATTTATCGTAAAGTAAGCCCTTAGGTGATTCTTCGAATCATGGCTCTACGGGCACACATAATAACCTTTTATTTAACCAATTATTATAGGTCATACCAGCTGGCATTTTTTCATATCATTCAAAAATATCCTTGAATTATTAAACGTATTTGCGCAGTGTGTCTTAAGTGCTACAGTAAATTGATACAGATAAAAATGCAGTGACACAACTAAGTAATGTAAGAAAAAAAACTTTTTATTCACATATACATTCAACAAACCCTTGATGACCCAGCGTACTAGAATCTAATTATTTAATATAGCGAACTGAGCATGATATAGATCAATAGGAATGGGATTAGGTAAAGTAGCAATGGGGTTAGGTGGAGGAAGTTGAGGAGGTGGTGGCGGCGGCGGATTAATAACATTAACTGGTACCCCATGATAAAGGCATGCTAGTTGAATGTTGATAACGCATTGTCCAGGTTGCAGATTGATCTGATTTCCACTCCGGCTAACAGTTCCAAATTCATACTAAAATAAAAGGATACCTTAAATTCATTTTTTGCTGATTTAATTTTTGCTAAAAGCATATAAAAATAAAACATACCATCGTGGGATTTAATGCACCAATAGCTGTTCGATTATTTGTGCAGTAGTGCCAAGCCTATTAAGAATATTAAAACAATCGGATATTACTAAAGAAATTAAGCAGAAATCGAATTCTTGTCATTTCTTACCGTCATCACTGAAGGGATTATAGCTGGTGCGATAGGTTCCTCTATTTTAATTGCGATAGCATCATGGGCTCGACCACCTTGGAGCCAGTATTGTTCGACTTTATTTTTGACATACATTTCAGATTGTGAGTACGCAACCTCTACTACTAGATTCGGCCATGGCTGAGACTAAGAATACAATATCATATTAATATTAACATTATAAAATATTAAAGAAAAAACCAGAAAGTAATAACTTTTCATACACCGCTTGGGTCACATCCGCCCCCATTCAATCGAGGTTTCGATACTGGTAACCATGATGCATCCGCTTCTTTGCCTATTCTAGGAGTTTTCGTTGCTTTTTTCCAAGGATAATTAATGATATATTTAGCTAGCGCTAATAGTATCAAAGGAAACTAACACACTCACTTGTAGCTCCTTCACTAAGAATGCCGACATTAGTGCTCTTCACACCTCTAATTGCTTCAATAACTTCACTGGCTATGGCCCAAACACAACGCTCGTGAAATTTTGAGGGTAATTCAATGACACGGACGGTCCCATTTTCCCACTCCCACCAGCCGTGAATATTATGCTTATCAGTATGTTCGGCAAAAGTATCATAAGATACATCAGTAACAAGCTCATATGGCAAACTTGATAATAAACAACGGTTAACAATTAGCAGTTAATTAGCTTGCAAAATAACCAAGTTGTTGAAACAAATAATAAAATAGCTTACATTGCCTCTTCCCACCTGGCCTTCGAGTGCAATTTGCCAGTTTTCCACCAGTACTTGCGATATCTTTTCAGTTCGTCGGCCTCAAAGGCAGTTGCAGTGTCTTGGGTTGATTGGGTATTTTGACTAGTTGACATATTTCTCAGAATAGTAAAATCGGCATTCCCGTATAAAGTTGTCATGTGTTACAGTTTGATATACTTAGAGAAATAGCGGAGATCACAAATACAGTATTACGCGATTTCAAAAGACTACGTATTTATTGATTCTAAAACTTTCCATCTCACAATATAGTGATCCACAATCACATGTAAATTTAGTTTGCAACTCTGATGCAATAATTGCCACATGTACAGATCATATGCGCGATTCAGAATCCAGCACTTCGTCAGTAGTTGGAAAGATAGAAAAGCAACTTAATATCCAATCTCAGGAAATTATTGATGAAGAAATGTCGGATGCCAGTAATGAGGAACATATAGATAATAGCGGAGCTAGTTCCAAGGCACATAATTCGAAGGGGAAAAGTATCAATATAGCCGAGGGATCCAATAAAAGACCTATCGAAGTTGACACTGAAGATAAATCCCCCACTAAGAAAGCTAAAACCAAGAAAGACGAATCATCAATATTAAAAAAACTTATCAAAGATTTAACTACCGATGCGCCTACCAAAGTCGACGAAAATTTGGAAACCACTAATACGAACACCACCACCTTTTTACAACTCTCTAATAATATTGACCTAGCTGAAATAAAAAGTGAAGATGCAACTCGAAATGTTATCACTAGATATTTTGATTTTGGCGAAGCTTTATATAAACGATACAAGGAGTTAAAACCCAATAATGGAAAAATAAAAGCCACCGCTATGCTTAGAATCGAGATCAGAAAAGAAATTCCAGAATCGAATCTTAGTGATGAGGCTTTACGAAAGAGGAGGGAAAGAGCCGAGAAGGTATATAAGCTTTTTATGAGTGTTGGAGGTAAAACAAAAATATCACAGATTCGATCTATTCCATCAAGGTCTATTTTTAATCTATCTCTAGATAATATTGATCAAGTGATTGTTGGGGTTTTTTATTGCAAAGCAGGCCCATAGGGGCGACTCAAATAGTCATGGGTTAGGCCTTACATATCAATAAAAACACGTTTACTGCGCCACATTACTGCGCCCGGACACGCGTGTCCAGTTTTTCTGAAATTAATAAACTTGCCTGAGGTTATAGACATTGTTTTATAAATTGACCGGGAAAAAATATCACAGGACGCAAACCTACATGTGATCACGGAAAAATGGATTATATTTGTATCCACTTTAGACCTAGTTAAAAATTTGTATGAATTGCGTATGGATTTTTTCCCATTCTTTCATTAGATTTCCTAGCCATTCAGTACTTAAACTGCTTTTTAGTACACTGCGACGTGATAACTCTTCACCGACCAGCCTCTCCCGATCTGTTAAAAATTTACGATGTTTTCTAGGGTCTTCTTTACTTTTTATTACATCACGATAAAAGCATATATCTCTTTCCAAATCCCCACGAAAACATCCCATGGTAAAAAAGAATGTCAGATAGTAGTCAAACTTTTTAAAAGCGAGGATTTGATAATGATATCATCATTTAGAATATATATCTGGACAGCAGCAAATGCCAATAATTGGGGAATTGATTTACTTTATTTTTGGTTTGATATTGATGAACATAGAAAGGCTCAAATGATTCTAGACAGTCGAGATACACTGATAATTCAACTTAATACTCTCGAACAAAAATTTAATTCTGAAAACTTGCTACCTTTATCATACTTTGATCAAATTATTGGACACCAGCGTCATCCTATATACAGACTTAACGATAAAGATTATTTATGTAGTGATTTACTGGAATTTCATTTAAAGGACGAACGGATCTTAAAGTCATATGCAGAAGAAATGATCCGTGAATTAATTACCAAAAATATCTCTAAACAAATAAAGAATTTCTTCAAAATTTACTTGATATATGTGCGTCAATGCTTAATAATGGCAATATTTGCACATTTATTAAAGTGATTAGTGTAATCAACTCTTCACTTCTAGAATTAGAGGAATACGACAAAAAATTTAGATTTATAGAACGTCTTTTGTCAAAAACTGCGTTGTTAATCCCCAGTGATTTTAAAAGTTACGTAGAAGAATCTTGCGCGTTGAGTCATCCTGAACATTGTGGAGATTATTTACATTTATATACCTCACTCTTTGATCGCATACTTTATTGGGTTTCCAATAAATGAAAAAACGTTAAAAAACGTTATCCAAAAGTTTATGACCTTTTTTATCCTTCTTATCATAAAAAAACTGTTAAATTTATGATACCTTTGTTTGGATTTGCCACTTATCCTAAAGATCTTCTGCAAAACACTCCTGAAGATGTGGATGTTGCATCAGCCCCTTATGATCTTCTGCAGACTACTGAAATACAACTTTTGAACACCTATTAGAAATTACAAAAAGTATCACAAAGAAAAAACAGAATTCTTACACTTGTATATGCTTATTATTTAGGAGAATTGATAGAAAATATTTCTTACAGAAGACAACACACATACTTGAAATCATATCTTACAGAATACTATTCCAAGGTTACCATTCACACATATATCATTTTTGAGAAAGTAGAAATTAATCTGATCTATAGAACCCAATCCATCACTCTACACCTAATCCATCACCTGTTATACTCTAATTATGTCTCCTTAACATAAAATTAATTCATCAAACTGATAGCCTAGTAGGGGAGAATTGTTAAACTTGATTTTCATTCAAGATCATTACTACTCCTTGTCCAATTTTCACTAGAATTTATCCTTGAAATGTTACCATTCTAAAATAATTTTTGTATTATATTTCTTGTTATTATTTAGCACTATGCTTTTCATATTATTGTTGCTTTAGAATATTTTCTATTTTATTTATTTATCTTTATTCTTGTATCTTCGTCAGAGCATTTATTTCTATGCTAACACATATAGATAACTGTTCTGATAAATATAACATTTCTTTTATATTTCTATTATTTCTTATAACTTATAATTATTATGTACAAAAATATTATAACTTAAACATGTATATAAGTGCTCCAATTTTGCCTAGGAATTGGCAGGCTTGAACTTATATTTTATCGAATAAATATCTTGACCTTTACAAAACAAATTACTATTGTTTCTTTCATTAGATCTCATACATCTCAAAATTATATTAATTTGTATGCCTTTAGGAACTTTAGTATATCACATTGGCCTTGTACATCTAAAGTGTCTCCCTGCTACTAGTTCTCTATCTTTATTTTTTTTTAAGTAGAAACGATATATGACACTATATAAAACATATATGATTATTTAAAGATCAATAACAATACTCAAGTTCTTTAAGTAGAACTATTCTTTAAAGATGGAACTTAAAATTCTTTGATTTTATTTTTTGTCTTTACAAGGCAATCAAATAAATGGATAGAAACAAATGAAAAAAATACAAATTTTAACTACCTATATTCAATATAAAGTTGAAAACTTATGGATTGAATATGTTACTACTAATGGAACTGATTATGCTAGAGATTTCTACCAAAATCTTAAAAAAATATTAAAAAAAAAGTTTTGTATTTAATGATGGCAAAACAAATAGCTTACAGACTTGAAAGAAAGAAGACAGACTCATCTAAATTTGTGAATTCCTATTACACAAACTTTAAAAAGCTTATTAAATAAGTAAACCTTGAAGAAAATACATCAGACCTTCAGAAACTTCATTATTTTCTCAAAGAATTGAAACTTGAAATTACTTCTTTAATAGTTATAACTGTATTTACAAATGTTGATGCAGCACTATAACTTGTCCAATAATATAAAAAAGATCAAGACCTTATTAATTATAAACAATTTACCAGGGCCAAAACAAAAAAACCCTTTGGATTCAAAAATAAAGAAAATTTTTATGATTTTATGGATAATCTTGTTTAAAAGTTTAAGAAGATACACCTCAAATTTGTAGAACAAATAAAAACTTAAATACAAAAATTGAAAAAAAGAACAAGTTATACTTCAAGTCCAACCCTACTTCTATTTCACTAGTATATATACTTAAAGGTATGGCCAAACTGAACATATTGTCCAATTCTGTTTTTCAGAAAGACCTTTGTTAACTCAAACACAATATAAATCTTTTCAATATATTAAGAAAAATAAATATATAAACTATATTACTATAGAAGAAACATTTAAAGAAGAAAAACTTGTCTACATGGGACAAAAAGAAAAACCCAAACCATATTACACCAATTAAAAAGAACAAAAAAAAAGTCAAATGATCAGAGTCAACCAAAGAATTTAATCTGTAATCAAAGAAGAATAATGTTTAACCAATAGAAATTGAAGATTTATATGTTTATTACCAATCTCTTCCAATGCAATCTATTTTATTCAAAACAAATAAGCTAAAAATGAAATCCCAATTATCTGTAGTTGATTAGTTTATATTATATAACATTTCTGAAGATATTCTCAAGTTACAATTAATTATTACTGTAGGACAAATGCCTCAATATCCCAACCAACAAAAGAATCTTGTCAAGATTTTCAAGAGACCAAAGAAAACAGTTTAAACTAATTACTTTCAATCAAAAAATGACTTAATAATCGAAAGTTCTCTTCAAGATATTGCTGCAAAGTTTTATCGGCATATACAATAACCATAAGATATTCAGTTTTTGGCAGATCTGTATATTTCTTATATTACTTGCAGTTTCTTATATAAATGTATACACTTAATCATAATATATACTGTATATTACCTTTCTTAGAAATTCCATAGTCATAAAATATTATCATAAAAGTTAACATCTTGATGCAACTTAAGCTGTGTAAAATATTTAAGTTAGGTATTGTTTATCTATGATGTAATTATGACAGCATATACTGTATAATAAAACAAATACTTCATTAAGAAATATATTTGTTAAAGTTTAATCAAAAATTTTAACTTCTTTAATTGTTACTATTTTATTAATGCTTTTTAAAAAGGCCTTGTGAACCTTCCCAAAGCTATCACTTCTTATAGTTTTAATATCTCCAATATTACTATATTAGAACTTATTTAATGTTAGTTTATTTATAGAGTTTCTGAGTCCTTTAACCCAGGGATTTTTTAATTCAAATTTTCTGATAAGAATATTTTAAAGTGTTACTATTTTCAAAATGCGTAAAAATATCATAGTTATTACACTAGTGTAATATGACACTTATACAGTACTGTATTAGAAAAACATTGAAATAAATTTATTGTCTATTATTATATCCAAATGTGAAAACGTTTTAAAAAAAGCCTTATTGACATTTTTGGTTTGCATTCAGTCAAAATTAACATATAACTGAAAGAGGAAACTTCATAAATGTATAGATTTTTGGTTACATATATACTGTCATTCCGTACATAACAGAATCCTATATTTTGTAGTACTCTTTTTGTATAGAAAAAAACTATACAATTACAGAAAAATACATAACGGCTTAGTAGTTGTTAAGGTCAATATTTTACTTAAAATACCAAAAAACCAAAAATAAATATATTCGACGAACATTACAAAAAAGGATAAGATCTATTTAGAAAATGCTAGAAAACAAGAATTCGATAGTTATTTAAGGAAGCGTTATATGCTTATCAAAAGGCAATTAAAAAATTCAAGACTCATGGATTCTTCCTATTTTATGAATCAAAAGACACTTAGCTGAAGCTTATATACTGTAATATCTATGAATGTTTAAGAGAAATAGATAATGCTAGTACTTGCTATAAAGAAGCTCAAACATATGGGCCAAAGAATCACGAAGCATTAATAAAATCAAAAAATTTTGCAAACTCCCTGTTAATTGTCAAATGTCTCAGAACCACTGATGCAATTAGGAAAAATTAGAAAAGAATATTTAGACAAACAAGAAGAAGAGACTAAAAATAAATTAGGTTTATACAGTGGTGGTCAAAAGTATTGCATCACCTGAATACAAAATTTAAAATGGCAATATTTTGTAATCCAGATGTTAAAATGATACAAAATTTTCAAATTGAGCTTGTTATAATATAATTTCAATATATAAGTATTTTTTTTTG